AAGGACTTGTGGATGTGATTCTGCCAGGCAAATGGGTACGCCAGCAGCGAGATCAGCAAGATGATCGTCCGGAGATCGTGCTCGGAGATGAAATTCGCATCCCGCCAGGGCTTGCTGTTCTTGGTGAACGCCAATGTTCCATGATAAGTGACAACACCAGATTTGGGCGTCGTCACCGCAGGATGACCAACCTTGAACACCGACTATGGGCCGCAGAGGCAAACATGACTTCTGCTCCAACCGCCTGGAGCCGTGGTCGATCCCCCAGTATTGGAGCTGCATTGGACCTCGTGCAAAAGCAGGATGAGGCAGATCGGCTAGCCCATGTGCGACGGAGGTGGGAAGCTGAAGACCGCTATTGCCACCGATGCCGGAGTTGCTCATGAGGCCTCCGCCACCACCTCCGCAAGTTCCGGCCCGTATGTCACAGCGGAGGAATGGGACCAGATTCGCCCTGGTGTGTACGGCAGTTCCGACGCCCGTTCCAGAAGTCTAATGCGAGCAACTGGAGCTGCCGTATGTACACAGTAGATGCCTGCTCCCCTTGCACCGCCGGATCCAAGTGGAGATATGACAGGCGTGCTGGCCTTCTGTGCCAATGTTCCGATTGGGAGAAGCTTGCAGATTCGAGGGTCAGATCCTCGACCACCGCCGAAATCATGACCCGGGCTTCCGCTGCAGGTTTCTTACGACAGCCATGGGAACCTGTATCCGAACCTGTTTCATGTATCGGTTGGGGTGACATGCCCGAGAACCACTCCAAAGCCGAATCTTACGTGTGGTCATTTCTCAAGCCCCGGACAATTTTGAAGATCCCTTCGAACCTGGCAACCTCCCTGACCGCAACAACGCCAAGCACCTTTGGCCCGTTGTTGCCCTCACCTGCATTCATTGGTATGAAACTGACGGCGGCTGGGTGATGGCGTACAAGAGGGATCCCCACCGGGAGGGTTGCGATGCAAGCGGCCCACAATCATTTTTCATTTTTGAACCACATTCAAAAACTTCAGGGTTCGCCTCTTTTATAACATTGTTTTTCGTTTAAATCAAGTTCTATATTGTAGAATTTGAAGCTTCCAAGCATCAACAAACCATACATGGCATCAGTCGAAACATCATTTGATTGTGTCAAATATTGAAGAAATCCAATCTCATGGAAATGTTCAGGCGAATCCGGCCAGTAAATGAAGTTTCCAATTCCGCAACATCAAGCTTAAAACCCCATGTTAAAAGCATGTGCACTTGCTACTGCGTTTCTCCAGCATATGACCAACACCTCCTGGGCAGCACGGCAGGACACCGGCTCTCGTGTAGCGTGATCACACCTCTTCTTTTGTTCTCCACCTTCCCGTGTCAATGAAAATGCGCGGGGGGTTGCTGCTTGCCGTAGAGGCCCTACGTATTCGCTACACTTGCATTGGCTTGAGGCTCAGGATAAGTATTGTCCGCACCCCATGTGTTGTGTTTCGGGTTCGCCGCGGTCAGCCATAGAACCTGCATGCTCTCTGGTAACTCACAGGCAAAGGATGGGAGAGTGTTTCGTGTCTTGAAAAGGATGAGATCCAGAAGCACAAGGAGGCTTTGAAAGTTGAGTCGCAGAGCTGCAATAGTCAGGGACGAATAGTTCTGGAGGCGGGCTGCACTGACTTGAGGAGCCAGACGAAGGCAGAGAAGAAAAGAAGCAAACAGTTCGAGTCGATCCCCCCACCGGCTATTTCCGGTGCTTTCACTCCGCTGCCCGCAGGGCCAGCGAGCCTTATCTAGTTGCTATGCCAAGTAATTAGATGGATGCAGAAGTCTTACAGTTGACGGTTTTGCAATCCAAGTTCAGCAGCTCAGGACAGAACCAGGCTCTTATGCCTCAGGCAGCTCCAACTGGTCCCTGGGCTGAACGGTACGGCTCCGTGCATGTTTGGTCGCATGTCCGCAGGCACAGTGATGCTTGCAATTTAGGGCACCTCCTCCTCCTCCTCCTTTTGAAGCGGGTCATGCGGCTCCTGCTGATGCGCTTATGAATCAGTGCCACTTGCCTCACCCGCATAGATGATGCGAGTGAACATTGCATTTATGAGATTCTCCTGGCTTGCCAAGGTCCTGGCATGGCTGTTTCTCTGAAAGATGGCCAGTGGGTGTTCGAGCTCTGAATGGGCGCCGATCTCCCTTGAGTTTTAATGATTCTCTGGCATAATGGCCAACGCTCTGTGCGTTCCTCCAGCCCTCGCGCGTGGTGCAATGCGTGCGCTGCATCGGTAACACCCAGGCAGCTGCATGCAAAATAGGGGATCAAAAGCCTTACTTAGCACTGTTAATTGCTGAGAAGAAAGTGTGAGAATTTTCGGCCGATTTCCTCTGCCTCTGCGCATTCGGACTTGGTGCATTGCGTCAGGCTCTCATAATCAAAGCATAAGTAGACGCCTGCGGCAGGCTCCAAGCCAGTCTTCAATTGTTCTCACGAGGCACAGGCTGAGCGGCCTGGCAACACAGGTCGCCTCAGAGCAACGTTAAAGGTGCCTCCACGTGCCTCCTACGTCGTAGCTGCCGTAGCTATGTCCTAGCTCGGGTGCCAATCGGGACAGCAGGCACTGATTTTTTCAAGTTCACGGGGGCAGGACTCACAAGGACTCCATACGGAAACACGTATGAAATGGCATTCGCAGCCTGTACAGCCGTGAACTTCATGGATTCGCCTTGCTGTGTGCCTGTGCTGATGCATCAACAGCCTCGTGATCACACAAAACAGAATATGTTGGCACTTGCCAGCTTTGACAAGGTGGTCCGCTGCGTTGCTTTTTCAATCTTGCTCGAAATGTGAAACTACAGGCAGCTACATCGACACACAAAATTCGGTGCAATTCTTTTCTGCTTGGGTTCGGGAATGCACAATCTTGTGCATCAAATCATCTCGGACTGACAGCTCAATGATTTTTGCTAAGGATCTCAAGTTTGAGACTTGGAGCTCTGAATGTCCTGCAAAGACAGCTTCGGCGCCGATTCCTTGCAGTCAGCTAACAACGCTGTTGGGAAAGGCTGACGGACATGATAAGCAGGGAAAGCTGCCCAGAATTGCCACACTCTGCAGGGCTATACGTGACAAGTGATTTTTGGAGAGAGGGCAACGATGAGAAATGAGCAGAGGGTGTCCTTGGGTCCATTCCTGGAGGGACAAATGATCCACGCGTGTTCTGCTGAACTCCTGGTAACCCCAGAGTCAGCAGGCACACAGGCACGAAGCACATCAAACAGGACAAATGTTGCAAATGTTGCAACGCCTCATCAAGAGCATAGTCCAGTCGTGTGGTGCTTCATGGATGTGATTCCGCTTTCATTAGCTACAAAGGTTTAGTTCACTCGTTGTGCTTTGAGCCTGCTATCAATTAGGTGAATGAGGCACTTCGAATTGCCATCCTCGCCAGACATGGGCTGGACAAAAGCTGAGGTGAATGAGGTTGACGTAGTGTGCTTGCACAATTCTGTGCCCCTATGCTGCGGCCCTTCTTCGAAGCTCCTCTGCATCTCAGCTGAGGAGGCGACTTCCTGGCAGCGGTTGAGAAAGAGGTGATCTTGCAGGAGTCCTCTTTCCTCGGCTCTGCACTTGTCTAGCTGTTGTGCATCGGCTAGCCGGCTAGCTGTCAGGATCGATTCCGAAGCCTGCGCGGCTTCCTTCAGAGTCCCTGGGCTGCGAGGAAAGGAGAAGGACAGAAGCAAAGGGTGTGGAAACGGTTGAAGAAAACGGCCGAGGCGCTGCTGCCGTGAGCCGTCGCCTTCTGCTGAGCTTCGCCCTGCGCGGCTGGCGCGGAGCCGCCGTGTCCTCCGACGCCGCGAGGCGCAGAACGAGAAAAGCGGAAGAAAGCGAAGAGCAGCTGCCTTTTTTTTTGGGAGCGCTCCACCTCCCCCTCTTAAAGCAAAAGGACCCAGCAGACGCACCTTTTGCATCCCACGATGAAGCGCTTCAGCGCTTCTCCTTTGGGGCGTTTGGGGCTTCTGGAGACGAGGCGACTCCTGGAGGATCACGCTGCCTCTGCCCAGGACTTTTTCAGAGCGCGCCAACTCTTTCAAGCACTTTGCTGCACATGAAAGCTAGATACTCGATGGCCTCAGAAACAAGTGCAGCAAATGAAGTGGCAGTATGTGGTCAAAGCGCTTTGAAAGGGGCCGCAAGCCTGTCCTCCCCCTCCATTTTGCACCTTTCCGAGATGCTCCTGATAGACGAGGACGCCCTGCGGCGAGCACTCCTGATAGCATGGCGCTGCCAAGCTTCTGCAAAGCGCCGTGCCTTCGTCATGCGAGTACTCCTGTGTTCCCTTGTGGTACCTGAAGACATTGCCATGCAGCCTTTAATTGTTTCTGACGCCAGGTTTAGACCTCATGCAGGTCCAGCAGGACGTGCGGCAGCTTGCGCGGGGTTTGGCCAAGCGTGACGCGCAGATGCAGAGCTTAGCGGGGCCGTGCTTCCAAGGCGTGCACATTCCAACAAAATTGCTTGGTCAAGTCATGCATTTTCGTAGTTGCAAGGCGTAAGCACGCTGCTCCAGATGATCTACATTCATCCCACCACCTTCGCCCTTGCTGCTCTTGCGAGGCTGGTTTGGTGCTGACATTCCAGCTGCGCAGATGGCATTTTCAAGATGGCGCGCTTGGGTCCTGCAATCCTCCGGAGAGGCCAAGGATAGAAAGCAGCTTGGCAAGGCCATGGTCTACAGCAACGGACGCAGTAGAGCAGAGACCGCCGGGCTGAACGGCAGCAACTGCAAGATGTCATGAGTTGTTATGCATGTTGCACAGCATGCATGGGCTCAAGTTGCCTTGTCATGGGAGCTTCCTCTTGCACACATGAACTCCCCCAACATGGGGAGCCTAGCTGTTGCAAGGCCTACTTTCAGGATGCTGAGACCTCGGTAGGCTCTCGGGAAGCCTCGCGCAAGGACTGGAAGGAGGGCCCCAAGGAGCAAGCAGCTGCACTACCAGTGGACCGCGTGAGGCCATCACGACGCACCACAGTGATGGGTGGCCGTTCCCTGCATGAACAGACAGGTTTCTTTGTGTACGAGGGCAAAGCGAAAGAGGCAGAGTGGCTGACGGTGGCTGTGGAAAAAATGTGGGAGTACATAGAGAAGTCCATCGAGAAACTTCTAAAGGAGGACATTACAAACCTAATAAGAGACGAGCTGCCCTTGATGAACTCCTTTGAGTTCACGAAGTGCAAGTTTGGATCCCACACCCCACGGTTTGGGCCGCTAAAAGTTCGTGCAAAGGACAACTGCGTGGAGCTGCTGATTGACATGCACTGGATAGCAGCGGGCGCGGAGATTGAGGTGGCAATGGGCACCATGAAGCTGGGGATGAAAGATATCGAGCTCCATGGACCCATCCTCCTGGTTTTCTGTCCTTTAATGTCCGAGCTGCCTATCACCGGTGGCATGAGCATCACTTTCCCCGATCCGCCCGCGCTCTCCTGGAAGTGGACAGGCCTCGGCAAGGCCCTGGCCGTCGATGTCATCCGGAGCCTCGGCAGAAGAGGCATCCAGGCCTGGCCTCTCAAAGCTTTTGGCCCTTAGGCTCCACTCTTTGCTTTCGCTTTGGGCTTCACTCTTGGAAGAAAGGGTGGTGAGATTCCCTGATTTTGAGGAAAGGGATCGTTCACGCCATCTTCCAGACACTCGTGGTGCCCAGCCGGGTCTATGTGGACATTGCAGATCTGGCCAGCCACCGAGCCCTGAACTTTTTCAGAGAAGTGATTTTGTTTCTCTAGCACGTGTTGGAAATCCTTTTGAAGTTGGCAGGTGCTCAGCATCTGAGATCAGTTGCAGTTAATTTGTTGGCTAGATGATGCCGCAAAGTCCAGGCCATGATGAGCTGCGTGTGGAGACCTTTCGGTCTCCAGCACCCATCGGGGCATTGCATTTGGTGGTCCTGGAGGCAGGGAGCCGAGATATGCATGTATTGAGTTTGCTAGGCATGGGTGTACATTGAGCATTC